CGCGGGTTCGAGACCCGCCTGGGCAACTTGGCGAGACCTCATCTCTACAATAAATTTTTAAAAAATCAGCCAGGCATGGTAACGCGTGCCTGTAATTCTGGATTCTCGGAAGGCTGAGGCAGAAGTATCGCCGAAGCCCAGCAGGTTGAGGCTGCAGTGGCCAGCAGCGGCCACTGCACTCCAGTGTGGGCGACAGAGTGAGACTCCAACTCAAAAAAAAAGAAAGAAAGATGGATGGATGGACAAAGGATGGATGAATGGAAGGGTGGAGAGAAGGATGAATGGACAGAAGAAGGATGGGTAGATGGACAGAAGGATGGATGAGAGGATGGAGGATGGATAGAATGATGGATGGATGGACAGATGGACAAAAGGCTGAATGGATGGACAGATGGAGAGAAGGATGAATGGACAGAAGGATGGAAGGATGGACAGATGGACAGAAGGATAGAAGGACGGATGGATAGGATAGATGAATGCATGAACAGAAGGACAGATGGACAGATAGAGAGAAGGATGGATGGACAGAAGGATGGATGGACAGAAGGATGGATGGATGGATGAACAGAAGGATGAATGAATGGACAGATGGATGGGTGATTGATGGATGGAGGGTTGGATGATGGATAAATGGGGAGGAAGATGGAAGGATGAATAGACTGGTGAGTGGTTGGTGGGTAGGTGGATGGAAAGATGGAGGATGGATGGATGGGTGGGTGGTAAGGTGAACAGAAAGGTGGATGGGAAGATGGATGGATGGATGGATGGATGGTAGATGGGTGGATGGATGGAGGGATGTGTGGGTAGATAGGTGGGGAGATGGACAGATGTGTGGATGGGAGGTAGATTTAAGGATGGATAAATGGTGGATGGATGGATGGGTGGGTGGATGGATGGGTGGGTGGATGGCTGGATGGAGAGTAGATGGAGAATGGGTGGGTGGGTGGATGGGTGAGAAGGTGGACACATGTATAAATGTATAGAGGATAGATGCGTAGGTAGGTGGGTGAATGGGTGGAGAGGTGGACACATGGACAGATGGATGACAGATGGATGGAAGATGAATGGGTTGAATGGATGGGAGGATGAACTGATGGAGGATGGGTGGCTGGGGAGGTGGACACAAGGATGGATGGAGGGTAGATGAGTGGATAGATGGATGGATAGACGAATGAAGGGTGGGTGGGGAGGTGGACACATGAACAGATGATGGATAGATGGAAGATGAATAGGTGGATGGAAGGATGGACAGATGGAGGATGGTGGATGGATAAAAGGATGGACAAATGGAGGACGGGTGGGTGGGTAGGTTGACACATGGATGGATGGAGGATGAGTGAGTGAGAAGGTGGATACAGGGATGGATGGATGATGGATGGATGGAAAATGAATGCATGGATGGATAGAGGGATGGACAGATGGATGGAGGATGGATGGGTGGGGAGGTGGACATGTGGATGGAAAGATGGAGAAGCTGGGCTCGGTGGCTCAGTCTGTAATCCCGCGCTGAGGTGAGTAGATTGCCTGAGCCCGCGGGTTCGAGACCCACCTGGGCAGGCGAGACCTCATCTCTACAATAAATCAAAAAATTAGCCGGGCATGGTAGCGCGCGCCTGTAGTTCCAGCTACTTGGAAGGCGGAGGCAGAAGGATTGCCGGAGCCCAGCAGGTTGAGGTTGCGGTGGCCGGGAGCAGCCACTGCACTCCAGTCTGGGCGACAGAGTGAGACTCCAACTCAAAAAAAAAATAGTCTACTAGAAAGATGGAGAATGGGTATGTGGGTAAGTTGACACATGGATGGATGAAGGATGAGTGGGTGAGGAGGTGGACACAGGAACAGGTGGATGATGGAGGGTGGATGGGTGGATAGATGGATGGAGGATGGGTAGATGGATGGAAGAATGGAGGATGGATGGGTGGGGAGGTGGACACATGGATTGACAGATGGAGGATACGAGGGTGGGTAGGTCAACACATGGACAAATGAAGGATGGGTGGGTGGATGATGGAAGGATGGACGGATGAAGGATGGATGGGTGTGGAGGTGGATACGTGGATGGAGGATGGGTGGATGGAAGGAAGCATGAATAGAAGATGAATCCATGTCGAAGTGGACACAGAGATGGACAGATGGAGGATGGATAGGTAGGGATGCGGACACATGCATGAATGGATGGAGGACAGATGGATGGATGGGGATGGACAGCTCTCCAGCAAGTGTGTGGCAGGTGAGAGTGGAGATGCCCAGCCTCTGGAGACCCTTGGGGGGGGGTGTCCCAGGAGGTGAATCTGGGCAGAGCGGCAGGCACCTGTGGTAGAGCAGCATGCTGTAGCCTGTGTCCTTACTCACCGCCAATCTTGTATACATCCTGCAGTGGCAGGCGCAGGGGCTTGTCCGTGGGGCGTGTCGGGGGCAGGATGGTATCCAGGGCCTCAAGCAGGGACACACCACTTGCGTTCCCCTCCTTACGCTCCACCTTCCAACCTTTAAACCATGGCATCTGGGCAGAAGCAAGAAAACCACCAATCAGAGAGACTACCACAGCCTCCCCTCCCCTCGGCCTCCTGGGGACCTCCAGGAATCCTGTAGGGGGACCTGACTGAGGGGCCTGGTGGTGGAGCACAGCCCGTCCACTACCCATTCAGGCCAAATTCACCTCATGCCCTTCAAGACGCCCTGTCCTTACAGTTCCAACAACACAGACTCTTAGGAGAGGGAAGGACATTGGAAAAAAGCCTCCACCCGGCCCAGACTGCTTACACATCCTTGACACTGTGAACAGGTCCCTAGCACAGTGTCAACTCCCCGAATCCCCCCAGGCCCCAGCTACGGGTCCCCAAGCAGGGCAGGCCAGAGCAGGAGGAGCCAGGGACACAGTCCAGTCTTGGCCCCAGCCCCAGAAACTCTGCTGGACCCCATGCTGGCTCCAAGTTCGAGGCCTAGCCCTGCCACAGCTGCTCCTGATTCAGACCCAGGCACCCACCCACCACCAACAGGAAGAGGGGAGGGGGCAGCAGTTCTTCAACCCCTCAACCCCAGGGTCCCAGGTCAGGCCGGCAGGAAGTGTGGTGGGCAGGGAAGAGATGGCTGGAGGCCTCCTAGAGGGGAAGGAGGAGACCACTATACCAGATCCCACAGGGAAGGCGTGAGCCATAGTAAACAACACTCCAACATGGGGTGGAATGGGAGCACCCCATCCGCTCTGCCCTGCCTGTCTACCCGCTCCACACCTGTCCTCCCAGGACCAGGGCCCAGGGCTTCCCTCTGGGCCAGCAATGTCCCCTGGCTTGACAGAGCCCTAGGAGACCGGCCTTGGGTTCTGCCGCATGTTTCCACCATTGCCTCCAGCCAAGCCTGGGTCCCCAGGCTGCAGGATACCCATACCTTAAGCTACCCAGCTGACCCACAGCCTCCCGGCCAGCCCAGAAACACACAGTTTCCAGGGCCCAGGCCTACTTGGGACCCCAGGGGAGGGCCCATGACCCAACCCTGTGGCTCTTACATGGTGTCCAGGGTCAGGACAAAAGCCTGGAGGAGATGAAAACACTACCGCCACAGGGGACTCTGCAGCAGTGACTGGGGGGACGGTCCCTGACCAGAGAAGGGGCCTGTGGGTCCTCTGCTGGCCAATGGGGAGACTGAGCTAGAGCTGATGCCCCTGGCCTGAGGAGGATGGGGCTCCCACAAGGCCAGGTAGAACCAAGGGAAGCCTGGGGACCAGCCCCCAACCCACCCGCAGCCACGGTGCCCACCGTGATCTGGGTCTTTGCCCATCCCCGCCACCGGCCCGGACTTACATTGGGCGAGGGTTCCAGCATGTTGTCGCCGTGCCAGCCGGAGATGGGCACAAAGGGCACAGTGGCTGGGTTGTAGCCGATCTTCTTGATGTAGGCGCTGACCTCCTTGACGATTTCATCGTAGCGCTTCTCGCTGTAGGCCGGCTCTGTGGAGTCCATCTTGTTCACACCCACGATGAGCTGCTTCACGCCCAGCGTATAGGCCAACAGCGCGTGTTCCCGCGTCTGCCCATTCTTGGAGATGCCCGCCTCGAACTCACCCACGCCCGCTGCCACGATCAGCACCGCACAGTCCGCCTGCCAGCAGGGGGCACACTGAGACCTGGCCCAGCTCCCCCAGGCCCTGCCAGGCAGTGGATGAGGGTGGAGACTGGGGGTCTCCCACTTCCAGGGCAGTGGGGGACTCATCGCCAGGCCCCAGGGCAGGAAGACCCAGGCTGAGCTCAGCCACCTCCAGCAGGCTGTGTCACTCAGTCTCTGACCCTGTCCCTCACTTGACGACAGAACATGACCATAGTTGTCACAGCAGTTTGCAGTTTGGCAAGAAGGAACTCCCAGGGAACAGAGGAGCCTGTGGGGTGCCTCAGCTGCAGCCTGTGTGGCACTGTGTCCACCTATCCGTGCCTGCCTGTGCATCTGAGTGCCCAGCAATGTCCTATGTTCCGGGCCTGACTGCGTCTCTGCACATACCTTATTGCCCCCATCCTGGCCTCCATGTCCATCTGTGACGGCGTGTCCATGTCTGCATCTGCCCCCTGTCTGTCTGGGGGCCCTGGCAGGGACTGGTGTCCTCGTGAGCACCCCCACCACCCTGGGTGACATCAGGGTCCCTGTGAACTGCCCACCTGGGACGTGCCGGTGATCATGTTCTTGATGAAGTCACGGTGGCCCGGTGCATCGATAATGGTGATATAGTACTTGGTGGTCTCGAACTTCCAGAGTGAGATGTCGATGGTGATGCCGCGTTCACGCTCTGCCTTCAGCTTGTCCAGCACCCAGGCGTACTTGAAGGAGCCCTTCCCCATCTGGAGGCGTGGGGGTCATGGCTCAGGGCCACAGGCACTGCGCGTGGCAGCAGAGCGGCCACAAGATGCTGGAAACAGGCTCCAGCACCTCCCTGCTCCCACTAATCCTAGGATGCAGCCCTCTCTCATGTCTACACCCAGGCCTTGCCCAGCCCAGGGCTGTCCCTTCTGTCCCCCAGGACTTTCCCCATCCGGTTCCTGAATGAGCACACATGCCACATCCACTAGCAGTGGCGTGAGGGCCTGGTGAGAAGCCACCAGGTGGGATGTCCTCCCACCTCAAGGGTGGCCCTTTATCTGAAACTGGGAGCCACCCAGACCCCTTGTCAGTCAGAGGTTTGCTGAGTCTGAATCTGGTGCTGTTGAATAGATAACCTTGCTGTGTCATTTTTTAAAATGAAAAGATAAGAGAAAGAAAAAGAAGGCGTTTGTGAGAAATGCCTGGCTCCCAGCTCTTCCTAAGTACCTGGGCTCCTCCCCACCTCATCTCCTCCCAGGCATGAGGCTGGGCTGCTAGCAAGCTCCTGAATGCCAGGGCTGGTAAGACCTGGGCTGAGCCAGGTCAGGGCAGCAGCTGCAGTCCATACCCAGCTAGGCAAAGCGCCCCACCAGTGCCTCCACAGGTCAATGCCCTCCAGGTAGGCTGCCCAGCCTGGAGGGCCACCCAAAGGAGACCAGACAGGACCCAGTGGAGGCCTGAGCTGGTGGCCCTGTGAGACCCCAGCCTCCTCCCACAAGTGAAGAGTTACGCAGCTGCTCAGACCAGAGCAGCCCACCCCCACTGGCAGGGTTTAGTCCAGACCAGTGCCTGCCCTCCTGAGCCCACCTGGCCTCAGCCCTGGTCATCCAGCCAGGGGGCTGTCACAGGGCCTCCCAGAGCCAGGGGCAGAGGTGGGGCAGAGACAGGCCCTGCTGTTGGCCATTCCTGGCCACAGGGCTCAGCCTCAAAAGAAGAGCAGCTTCAAGAGGCAGCAGGAGCTAGGAACCCCACCCGAGGCACCATGCACAGGCAGCCTCTGGGCCCTGCACGGGAAAATGGAGATGGGCCGGCTGCCGTCAGCCAGCTATTAATAGCAGCCCGGTCCTGGCCTGGCCCTGTGCAAGGGAGGGCAGCACCGCCTCCAGCCCAGCCGTGTCCTGGGGGGCAAGAGGGCGAGGCCCTGGGGGCCCCTGCTCTGGTCCCAAGCCCCAGAGCCCACTGTGGACCCAGCCCTCCCTCAGCAGTTGCGATCGGCCCACCTCTGCCCCTAACCTTCCTCAGAGAGTGCTGCCCTGCTCACCTACCCCCACCCCCTTCTGGGGTCCCTTCCAGCTGCACCTCTCCTGCCCTGGGGGAGGGTGGAGGTTGGCGCCCCCACTCACCTCTGCTGCCTCCTTCTCGAACTTCTCAATGGTCCTCTTGTCAATGCCCCCACACTTGTAGATGAGGTGGCCTGTTGTGGTGGACTTGCCCGAGTCCACGTGGCCGATGACCACAATGTTGATGTGGGTCTTCTCCTTGCCCATTCTGCCCGGGGTGTGGGAGGGTTGGCAGAACCTGGGGGTGCTGGCTCAGGGCAGGGGGCGCTGCAGGGCGTCTGTGGGCCGCAGGGGACACGGGGCGTCTGTGGGCCGCAGGGGACACCTGGAGAGACTGCCCACAAACCTCGCCCCCAGGCTGCCCCCCCAGCTGGTGGGGAGGGGAGAGCCCCCCCTCACCCCCACCCTGGACCTGGCCCAGCCCAGTCAGGTGGTGAGTACAGGTGCACTCCCCTACCCCTGCAGTCCACTCTGCTGGGAGCATCTGGGTGAGGGTACCCATGGAGCACCACTCCTCACCAAGGGCTGGTCTCCGTCTGGAGATGCCACAGAGCACCAGGCTGGGGGAGCCATGACCCACAGGAGCCTGGGTGATGAGTCACCCTGCCCGCTGCCCTGTCCTCAACGCCTGTTCCCCCCTCCCCTGCAGCCTGGGCCAGGGACATAGCGCCCCACCCCCACCTGCTGCCATCGGGAAATGGTCAGACTCCCCACTCCCCTCCTCAAGCAGGGACGGCGCCATCTTTCCTTCATCCCTGCCGGCAGGCTGGCACCAGGGCAGGTGGCTGGGGCCGGGCGCCCACAGGGGATGCAGTGCCCAGATTAGAGACCCAGAATAGCTCGAGCCCTCCCCCAGACACTGGCAGGGGGCAGATGGTGGCCGGGAGATGGGGATTCCATTCTGGCCAGAGGAGGGAGAACCTGGCCCACCCAAGCTCAGCAAGTGCCAGGTGGAGATGCTCTCAGCCCCTGGGGGGTGTGGGGACACCCCTCCCCCTCCCCTCTGGTCAAGGCCCTGGTTCACAGCCCGGACCCATCCCGGAGTTCAGCAGAGAAACGCTGCGCAAGGAAAGAGACAGGGTAGACACCACGCCACCCGGGTGGGAGCACAGGTGGGGGTGGGGAAGCGAGGTCCTCCAATCTCCCCATCCCCCTCGCCCTCCTCAGGCCGAATGCCCCGCATCCCCCAGGCCGACCTCCACCAGTCTCCAGCTCCAACGACCCTGCTCCAACTCCCAGGCCCCAAGGTCACAGTCACGGGAGATCACTGCCCCCAGGGCCCGGGGCGCCGCTCCC